CTGACCCAGCCCTCTTCCCACCGCCATCTGGGCATCATCCTCACTCCTTCACTCAATCTGTCCCCCCATATTCAACACCTTACCAGCAAATTTCGAGGTCGGGTTTTTCTTTTAAACCACATGTCCAACTTCCTTCCTTTTCCTGCTGTGAATCTTTTGTATAAATGTTATGTTCGTCCCCTCCTTGAATATGCTGTTCCCGTTTGGATGTTTTCCGTTTCAGCCACCATGTCCACAACCCTTGATAAACTGCAGGCTACTGCTGCTAGAGCATACCTAAATAGTAAATTCAAGCGTCGGCCTGACTGGACGACTTCCAAAGAAGACCTCAATGTTCTGTCCTCTTGGGAATCTTTAGCATGGCGACGGCAGATTCTTGGCCTTGTCTATTTCCACCATGTATTCTCCCAATACCCCTCCTTGTTGTCTCACTTCCAGCTACCCTCTTCCCAAAGCAGTCGTCACCCTTCATCCATAATTCTTCCTAAAGCTGGCACCTTCTTTCGTAAATCAACCCTTTTTTCTTTGAGTGTTGCCTGGAATAAACTTCCTGAAGATATTCGTTCACTCTCTACAACAGCGAAATTTAGTATTGCTGTTCGTCGGTATCATTCGCAGTCTATGTTTTCTTTGAAAGGTATTCCTGACTTTTGTGTCTAGGCTAACCACATCTATGATAGTTTCAATAGTTTGTGTATATGTCAGTTATAGTAGTCCGCAATGCTGCTTTTCTAATTCTCATTATGATTAGCATGCAATGTACTACCCGAAGTACTGAATTTACTTCTTCTGTACTCTATATTCTAATGTATCTTCTACCTCTTCTCCCTTACGAACATACTTTCTCATTTTCCATACTTACTTAGGAGACTCCCTTCGATAGGCATCTATTTGCCTCTGGAGGATCCGTGAAATAAAAATCAATCAAAAATCAAAATGAGCAACCCCTTAGCAAAACTAAAACAGGAAACATTTGAGTATACTGAAAAGATAGCACGAGAGTATGAAGATGGAAAATATATTGTTGATGATGAGATGGAAAATGGGTATGAGTTACCGCTTGATGGTGGTGAATCCTCATCCAAAGCTGGACCACCCGAAGTTGGCTCAGAAACCGGCCCCACATCAGTCCTCGAAGTGAGCCAAGATGGGGTAAGTGAAAAAGCTCAAGTTGGCTCACTTCCGATTTTCTCGGAGACAGCAAGTTGACTCACTTTTCTGGGGCTGGGTTGAGCCAACATGGAATCAGTGGTTGGAGTGGTAAAATTAGTACTTGGAGGTGTAAAATTAGTACTTGGGTTTTTTATCCTTTAGTACAGTAGTATAGGATGAGGGGGAGACTTTGGAGAGCGGCCCTTTGGGCCGATCGAGAAAGTCGATTTTGGCTCACCTGGAAGGTGAGCCAGAACCCCCTCGTCCTATACTACTTGCGCAGCACATCATCTTGTCCAGCATGTCACCCAGCCAACCCGCAGCAACAATACTCTCGACCTTATCATCTCCGATTTCCCACACCCCGTATGCACCACAGCCTATGCACCACTTGGACGATCTGATCATGCCGTTATCATTGCCGAGTTTCTCCAACAACATCCACGACGCGAAGATCCTGCTGTTCGACAGGTTTGGAAATACGCCCTTGCTGACTGGCACCGCCTGAGAGCCTACCTCCGCAACATAGACTGGCCCGCCAAGATCCATGGGTGTGCGGAGCAGTCCTGTCAGCGCGTAACTGATGTCATCATGCATGGAATGAAACAGTTCATGCCATCCAAAGAGCTTGTGGTACACCAATCCAACCCTGTATGGTGGACACCGGACTGTTCTAACGACAATCATGCCAAGGAGCGGGCATGGAAGCTGTGGCGACGCGATCCCCGCAACGATAACCACAAGGTCCAGTACATCACAACTGTTAACCACGAAGTGAAAGCGTGTCATGCAGCGCGATTAGCACATCAACGTAGAATTCGCAACAAGCTTACTGCAGGTTCCTTCCGGGACAAAGAGTGGTGGTCAACCATCAAGAGCGCAGCAGGCAAGGGACGTTGCTCTGACATTCCCCTGCTGACCAACCCTGCAGGACAAGAGTTCCACTCTTCTCGTGAGAAAGCCGAGTGCTTTGCAGCGCATTTTGCGAACAAGTGTAGCCTTGGCAATAACGACCTCTGTGCTGCTGGCCTGCCTGACCTGCAACGACCTGCCTATGCCACACTAAAGCACATTCACTTCTGCGCAACAACGGTCAAACGGCACTTGGCGAACTTGGCTGTATCAAAAGCAACTGGACCGGATGGCATCTCTGCTCGTGTGCTCAATATGTGCTCATCTGAACTTGCAGACCCACTGGCAAAGCTCTTCGCCCTCTGCTTCTTAGCCGGTGTGCAACCTGGGGCATGGAAACTTGCCCATGTAGTCCCTGTTCACAAGCGGTCCTCCAGATCTTCGGCATCTAACTACCGACCAATATCACTGCTAACGATCATGTCGAAAGTCATGGAGGGCATTGTAAACACGCAACTGGTCAACTACCTAGAGAAGCATGAGGTGTTGCCAAACAGCCAGTTTGGATTCCGACGTGGTAGAGGAACCACAGATATCTTAACGGCTCTCCAACATGAATGGGTCCACACCATAAGTACTGGCGGTTGTGTCCAGGTCCTCGCAGTGGATATTGCCGGTGCGTTTGACCGGGTGTCGCACACAGGTGTGCTGTACAAAGCAAAGCAGGCCGGCGTCGACGGACGCCTGCTTGTATGGCTACAGGACTACCTCACCAACCGAAACATCCGCGTTGTGGTTGGAGGCCAGACGTCAGATACTCAACCCATCCAGGCTGGTGTCCCCCAAGGCAGCATCCTAGGACCCAGCCTCTTCCTTCTATACACCTGTGACATTGAACAATGTTTAAAACTCCAGGAACGCAGTTGAGCAGCTTTGCAGACGACACCACACTCTACAGCTTAGTACAGCCAACTGACGATCTCCAACAGTCCACTGCCTCCCTCCAAGGGTCCCTCAACAGTCTTGAGGAGTGGGGCCGCAAGTGGCGTATCTGTTTCGAGCCAGCCAAGACACAGCGCATGACTCTACATCGCAAGCACGTTCCCCCTGCACTTCACCAGTCACCTTTGGGGGGGGGGAAGCACTCCAGGAGACAGATACCCTGAAGCTGCTTGGAGTCATGCTCGACCCTACTCTCTCCTACAGAGCGCACACTCGCAGTGTTGCAATGCGCACCTCCCAAAGGCTGGGTTTCCTACGAAAGGCAGCACCCATCCTGGACGACCATGGTCGAGTGACGGTCTACAAGCAATTCGTGCGACCCCTACTTGAATATGCCCCACTGGCCTGGTCGAGCGCAGCCGCAACTAACATGGCCCAGCTGGACAAGGTTCAGCAACGTGCCCTGCATTTCCTGGGACCTGGAACCATCCTCCAAAGTCTTCAGCTTCGTCGGATGGTGGCAGCCCTGTCATACTTGTTCAAGCTGTACTACATTCCAGGGCCTCCCCAGGTAAAGGCCATGCTGCCACCAACCAAGCCCCCTGCCGTAGCTAACATGTGCACACGGCAAAAACGTCAGACGCACCATGCCTTCCAGCTGAAGTGGACACCCCCTCGCACAGCCCCTGACTACCTCCTGCGATCCTTCCCATTCTTCGCCATCACACCCTGGAACAACCTGCCTGCGGACCTCCTGCTTCATGAACCTCATTCAAGACGCCTCCAAACCTTCAAGGTCAACGTATGTAAGGATCTAATCCGAGAGAGATGGCTGTGGTCCACAGAGTACCTGTGACTATGATATTGAGACCCATTTAGTATTTACCTCTCTACTAGTACTTGCTTGTTATGATTATTGTTCTCTTTCTTCTTTTTTCCCTTCTGGTTTAGTCATTACACGTATTTATATTATTATGTGCAATACTAGCGCCCCTTTCTCGCACCAAATTATTATTTTTGCTACTTGACCATGCAACCCCCCCTTTTTTTCGATGCCAGGTTGCAACGCTAACGCCGAGACCCCTGGTCGGTCGAGTTGCTCCCTGTACATCGGCACGTCGTCCCTACATCCCCTGTGTCTTGTCTTGTGTTTGTCTCCACATGTCACTTTGTAGGGCTGTGTTCCAAATAAAAAATAAATAAAAAATGCTAAAATCAGGTGTCTGCTAAACTTTTCTTTTACCGTATTTTCTCTAATAAGAGCCCGGGGTTCTTATTTTTTCAGTGACAGCTCTACCCGCGCTACTATTAGAGACTGGGCTATTATTGGAGACTGGGCTCTTATTTTTCAATTGTCAACTATCAAGCCAACTCCAGTCTATACAGGCAAAAACTGACCATATCAAGACTGATTTTTCAACCCTAAACTCAGGAATATTGTCAAAACAGATGTTTCACGATAGCATTGGCGCCAGGAAGGAAGCAATAGACCGAAAACCTCCTTACAAATATGTTCTTGGTATGTTGTACTGCTGTTTTATATGCAGTCAATATACTTGTTGCATACTCCACGTGATTCCGCCAGACATGTTGTATGCATACTCTATTTTATTTTATACTTTGGAATGAGTTTGGATGAAGTTTTCCATTAGTCCTATTGGTGTTGTTACTAACTGCTTTTGTTGACGTCACTTCTGTCATTTCATTGTATCGTATTACTCTTCAGACATCGGTCCTGAATGGCATAAGCGAAAGTGGCACCTCCGCCACCTACGCGGACATGCTTTTAATAATAATAATGATACTCCAATTGTGACCCGCGCTACTATTAGAGACTGTGCTCTTATTATTTCAAACCAACCTCGCCCCGGGTCCTTATTGGAGACTGGGCTATTATTGGAGACCTGGGCTTTTATTAGAGAAAATACGGTAAGTGTGTTTGACCTCTACCAGGTAGTCGTCAAAGTACTGTGCCATTATTTGACGACTCCCTAATCTCAACAACAAGACTCCCTGGCAACAGCATTGTATTGTGTTGTGTTGTATTGATTTATTTGAATTCGCAGCATGAATCAATGGTTTGCTGGTCTTGACTCCACCATGCATAGTATTCACAATTACAAACAAGTACAAAAGAGCATGCATGTATCAAAACAACATGCAAAACGGAGAAATTTCAAAATGAACAACCTGCAGTCTTGCACCATCCTGTAGCTAAAGTGAGCATGGATGGTTGAGGCGTAGACCTACTGCCTACGTCGCAGATGCAATGTATTTTTAAACAACATTATGTGATACAAGCAGCAATGGATTAAAATGCAGTGCAACGTACACTGGAGAAGAAATCAGGAATTATTCTAATTGCCGAGGTTCTGCTATACGTGAAACGTAGAGAAATCACGTAGAGAGCAGGTGTCTGGGTTAGAGTCTACGGCTTCGCGTGTTTTGGCTCCAGATTTCTACGCGGAGATGGGGTTCTCAACGTAACGTCGTTGTGGCACACGCAGAGAAAATGCGTACGGATTTGCTGGGTATCGATCAACTGCATGCAGAAAACTGCCAAATATGAAAGGGAAAATTCCCAGTACACATTCCACGTGACTTCTCTAGATGAAACGTAGAGCAGAACAGCATTTCTTTACGTTACGGGAACGCGAAGAGAGTTCGCGTGATTCTTTGCGTCGCGTTCCCAAAACGTAGAGCAGAACCTCCCTATTATTAAACTCAATCTCGTAGCATGTGCATGCATTGCTAATGTGGGGAGCAACCCCAGAGATGAGGGCGATAACCAGCCATGGTAGGAAAATGCAATGTAAAATAAAGATTTTCAAACCGAAGCCGGAATACACTTTACATCAAAACTTTATAAAATGAAATAAAATTATCCTATGAACGTATCAATGTATCAATAGGCACAATGTTCTGCATATCAATTTGAAGAGACGTGGACTACCATTGATGAAGTACATGCGATATTTTAGCAACTTATCTTATCACTTTATACCATAATATGACAATCGCAATGAGACCAACTGAAACAACAAAAGATTTACGGAGTACTCTTACATTTGTGACTATTATGAAGTACTGTGCAAAAGGGGATATAAAGAAAAAGAGAACAAAAGTGCAGGAATTGCGACAGGAAAAAAGACCTAGCTTCTTGCCTGGTATGTTATGTATATCAGTGTGATGGCTGCAAAGATCTCCGTCATTAACAGTGCTGTTAAGAGAGTGGAATAAATGATCGCCTTCTTCACCCGGGATGTAGTTATTGTAGAATCAGTACCATTCTCACAGCGGGCCGATGGCGTAGAGTTGATGGATGTACTTGTGTCTGTGATGCCACTACTACGATCTATGGCAAGATTCAAACAAATTTAAACAACGAGTGTTGTAAAACGGCCATAATTGTTCAAACTGTCACCAAACACATCAGTATCCTATGGCATGCATCAGTTTTATGTAGTAAGCGCTATTGGCACATCCATCGCACAACAACTGAATTCAATATAAAAATCATAAAAGTAAAAATGGCCGATGGCAACTCCTTCATGCAAGAGAGCATTGTTATTTTTCATGATGCATTGTCATTACAGAAGTAGAACAACACCTCCAAATTTCAAGTTGAGTCACCATCAGGTGACCTGCATGATGATTGATTACTGTGAAACTCGGAGTTGGAATAATAATAATATAATAATATTAATTTTGAAGAAGGGCTGAGGCTTCCTGTAGCTTCATCTGTGAAAAGAATTCGGTGGGAATGCGTGTGTCCACCCGAATTCTTTTCACATAATAATATTAATAAAGAGAAATGGAGTGAGAAGAAACAACACCTATGAAAATGATAATCCTAGCACTAAGGTAATAACAGGAAAAACTGCGAAAGCACTTAACGAACTTGTAAAATAAAATAGTGTCCTTTTTTGGTGTGGTAGTAGGTGGAAGCAAATTTTGTTGCTCCGCCAATCGGCTCCTTACTTTTGTTTTGTTTGTCGAGCACTGACCAAGGAAGCACAGCTATGGCGGACTCAACCCTAGACCTAGCCCTGATCGAGTTCAATGTCTTGCAGCAGGTAGCCAAGGACGCCCGAATTCCAGGATGGGACGACCTATCCAGGGCGGACCTCGTGTTCGCTCTCCGTAAGCAGGGCCAGGGAGCCAGCGCACCGGCCAGAGGAGCGCCATCTGAAACCGGTATGGTACCAATTGTATCAGAACTGTTAGACGTAGTCCGAGCACTTTCAAATGAGATTTCGCAACTACGAAATGTGATTGAAACAAGTAAGTCTTCGCAAGAAAACTTCGAAGCCCAATTGTCACGATTGCGGGAAGAGATGGGGGAGCTCAAAAGTCAGCAAGTGCGAGCCCCGGGAGTGCCACTAACCACTCGGTACCAACCGAATACGTACGCTGCCACCCTTTCACGTGCATCTACTACAGAGCCCAATGTACAAGTAGGTCCAAATATGTACACTTCTACCATTCCTGGCGCATCCTCTACAGAGCCCATTGTTCAAGTAGGTTCCCAGTACGCACCTCCCGCACCCAAACATGGCACGCGAATGACCAGCTCTGGCACTCCTGGTGACACTGACCGTAATGGTTGGCAGTATCCTCCACACCGACACATGGCTCGTGCTCCCGCACTGCAGCGTTCTATCACATCACAGTACAAAAAGCCGATGTCCAGTAAGCGAGGCAGCCTCTAGGGGGCAGAAAGGATCAAGCGGAAGTGCTTCTACCTCGGAAATGTCGATCCTGGGTGTGAGGCTGACTCTATCAGGGAGTGGTGAAAAAAGAAAGCAGTTGACATCCTCAGTTGCTCAATTTCGGAGTCCAAGTACTTTGGTACTGCTTATGCTCACCTTGTTGTTCCGGCTGAGCATACTGACCAGGTTCTCGAAGAAGATTTCTGGCCAAGCAAAGTTTCCATCAGGGAATGGAGATTTGCATCTGACAGCACAACCTTGGATCAGTCTGCTAGTAACTAAACCATGCAATTGGACCCACACCCACCTTCCTCACTGAACCCACACGCACACCCATTCTTTCCTACCAGACACTCCCTTCCCACTCACCAGCATTCTACACCACCCCAGCTCACACTCCTAACAACAAACTGTCGTTCTGTAGTAAATAAGTGTACAGAGCTTACTATTGTTGCTGAAGAGTGGCAGCCTGACATAATCTGCCTAACTGAAACCTGGCTCGACCCGAATATTGCACTTAATATTACGCGTTATGACACCTTCCGGAGGGACAGGCCCCCTGCAGAGAATAAGTCCGGGACAAGTGCAAGAGGTTATGGTGGTGTCTCTATCCTTGTTCGACAGAATAAGTTTAAGTCTGTTGCCATGCGTCCCGATCTAGCTCGCGATGGGTGCGAAGCCGTTTGGGTTCAACTCCAGCCGTACCCAGCTGCAGCTGAGCCGATCCTCCTCTGCTGCAGTTATCGTCCACCTTCTGCTAAGCCAACAGATATAGCAAGGTAATGCCAGACTCTCGAAGACGTACTCATTACTCTTCCTCTTTCATCTTCTCACGTTATCTTGACAGGTGATTTTAACAGCAAGCACACGTCATGGTGTTCAACAGATTCCACCAATACTGCCGGTGCTGAATTGTATCGCACGCTCAGTCCATTTGGTCTTCACCAACTCGTCAACACATGTACATACACGTCACCCTCTGGTGTCCAAGCCTGCTTGGATTTGGTATTTAGTAACCGTGCCAATCTCTCGTCTTGCGTCGAAACTGACTGCCCTTTGGGCGCCTCAGACCATGCCATTGTGTACTGCCAGTTCGACATCCCCCTGCCTTAGTCTCCCCGCGAAATAACGTCTCAAGCTCAGGAGCCTAACCCTATGTCTTTCGATCTCCGACACGTCACACCTGCTGTGTGGGAGGCGGTCAATGCAGACTTAGACTCAGTACCTTGGAACTCATTAATATCCTCAGACGTGGACAGTGCACTTAGTAACCTGCACAGTGTCCTGCAGACTGTGCTGTCCAAGTATGTTCCCCTTCATAGCTCCCGCAAACCAAATCGAACTCCCTCAACCCCAGGGTGTACACGCAAATATCATCCATGGGTTTCCACTGAACTACGCAAGGCTATCAAGTTGAAGCGTGACCTATTCAGCCTCTCCAAGAAATTCCCTACGGACTACAACCTATCAGCATATAAGGCACAGCGGAACCAGGTGAGACATCTCTCCCGCTGGTGCCACCGCCAGTACATTCGTTCAATCAAAACAACACTTACCTCAGGCAGCACTACGCTTCACCAGTTTGTCCGCAGTCAGCGATCGCACAAAGTAAAACCTGGCATCCCTGACATTGCAAGCCCTGATGGGCTGCTGGTGTCCGACAGCTTCCAAAAAGCAACCATCCTCAACAAGCAGTTTACCTATGTCGCGGTGCCTGATGACCCACGTTTAGTAATACCCCCTCTCCAATATGGCACTCGTCTTACTCGCCAATTCACCCGCGTTCATATCACTACAGCAGATGTTCGTAAAGCCATCTCAAACCTGAAATCTGGGAAAGCGCCAGGGCTAGACGGTATCACGAACAATATGATAAAGAAGCTAGCTCCTGCGATTTCTTTTCCACTTAGCCGCCTATTTAACCTCTCCTTTACCACAGGCAAGTTCCCTACTGACTGGAAACTGGCTAAAATTGTGCCTATTTACAAGTGCAAAGGCAGCAAATCTCAAGCTAGTAACTATCGCCCAATTTCCCTCCTGTCCTGTATTTCCAAACTTTGCGAACGGCTCTTCTTCAATCAATTGTATACTCATATTTCTCCTGCTCTGGATCCCGCGCAATCTGGGTTTCGTCGTGGTGACTCGACCGCTCTACAGCTCACCAAGCTGATCCAAAACATTGCCGACCATCGTCATATGGGGCGGAAAGTTGCCATGTGCTTTTTCGACCTCGAGAAAGCTTTCGACACCGTGTGGCACCGTGCATTACTTGCTAAACTTTCCAAAGTTTTCGGTGTGTGTGACTCAGCGCTGGAGTGGATTACAGACTACCTATCCGACAGAACGCAAGTTGTCTTTGTAGGTGGAACTCTCTCAGATGCTTCACCTGTTCTGTCCGGAGTGCCCCAGGGATCCATCCTAGGGCCCCTCCTTTTCCTAGTGTATATAAATGATCTTCCCAGTCATGTTGAAGGTGTGTCCTTATTTGCTGACGATACTGCACTGCTCCGGTTCAATGAGTGTCTAGACAGGCTGCGAGACAGTCTCCAGCGCGGTATCAACGAAGTCCATCAGTGGATGACTACCTGGAGACTAAGACCTAATATCGCCAAGACTGAGATATTATTCCTGCCGAACTCAGAGCCAACCAATGCATTCACTCTTCCCGGATCCCTCACAGACCGCACAGTGGTAAAACAACACAAACATCTTGGTTTGGTCATTGACTCAGACTTATCGTTTAGTAGACATGTCGACTATATCTGTAGCAAAGTCAGTAAAGCTGTTGGCTACCTCGTGTCTCACTGCTCCCACCTACCGCTTGAATGCATTCGCCTTTTTTATCATTGCTATATTCTCCCCATTTTTCTCTATTGCTCAACCCCTGGTCATCCCTACTTAGTAAATCGTTAATGAGTACCCTGGAAGTCCACAATAAGAGGATACACAAAGTCCTTTTCCGCAAACCATCATACTTTCCTTCTGCCGAGCTGTATGATATGTTTAACACCTTCCCTATCTCTAGTCAAGCTGATCGAAAACTGTGTATTGTTGTTCATTCTATTCGTCTTGACAAAGCCCCGCCACACTTGCGTAAATATAACTGGTTTCTTCCCACTCGTCCTACGCGCAATCCCTGCACTTTACCTAAAGGCCGAACCTCAGCTTATACCAGATCTCCGTTTTTTGCTGCCTATTCTCTCTGGCTGGCCCTGCCTCTATCAGTAAAATCGTCTTGTACGCTAAAGGATTTCAAGGCCAACATGAAGCTCGTGTTCTAATAACTGCTAGTTCTTCATCCACATTTGTTTCTCTTTGCCTCCAGTAATGTGTAATATTTATTTATTTTTGCTTTGTTTTTGTTTACTGCCATGGCTGGCTACCGCCCCCCTCCCTCCATATTGGCCTATATTCTCTGGCCACGGGAAGGTGAAATAAATAAAAAATTAAAAAAAGACATGTATACTGTGACACAAGATATGACACCATGGCCAACCAGGGCCAAACAGACAGAACAAGCTGCTACTAGAACAATTTCAAACGCGCTGTTTGTCAACGTATTCATAAGCCTAATCTGTGTGTCCAGAAGGACAGCATTATTCGTTTGAAATTGTTCTAGTAGCAGCTTGTTCTGTCTGTTTGGCCCTGGTTGGCCATGGTGTCATATCTTGTGTCACAGTATACTAGTAGTCTTTACAAGTTCGTTTTAAAGTGCTTTCGCAGTTTTTCCTGTTATTACCTTAGTGCTAGGATTATCATTTTCATATAATAATATTAATATGGCAATAAGTAGGACGAGCTGAAGTGACATTTGGATTACTTTATTAACAATGTAAGCGATGGAAACGATGCAAAAAACAATGTAAAGGGTAAGGAAGATACATGTATGAAGAAAAAAGCGATGGAAAGAAAGATGATTTGAACAAGTTTTCGTACAACACTCTTCAGGAATCACCGTTGTACTAAAGAACAAAATGAGAACAAAGGAAATAATATAGCAATCAAGGTAGGGTAGCAAAATACAATGACAGCACTGGAATATCGAGGTGTGATTTCTCACAAAAGCGTGCAGAAAACAAGGGTATACAAGTAGGAACTAAGCGTGACAAGTGTGTATCAGCAACAAACAGAACAAAAAGTGAGAACGAATGATAATAATAAAATATAACAAACAAGAAGGTGACAAACCACATTTAGGCACAAGTGGCAACAACGTTGCCACACTACACAAACGAACATTATTTGAACAATTTTAGGGTAATACCACTTTCTTTCTGGACACACAAATTCGGCTTATGAATGCGCTGACAAACAGCTTCCAAAATTTGTAACTGCAACAGATAACCATGCCGAGCACGGCACAAAACAGAAAAACAGGAATCAGAATAAGTGCGGCAACAGTCAGTACTAGAGACCAAATGATTGTATACTGAAGACTTGTTATTACGAGACGCACGCACACAATCTCGACTCACGCGCACAATTTCACACTCACTCTCACCCCCACTCAGCTCACCTTCTCCCTCACTGCTCAAACCAGAACCTGCTCCATCATCCACACTGTTTGAATCTCCTCCTCACTTGCATCGTCCTGCGTCTCACCTTCACCATTAACGCCAGCCGCAAATGCCGTTGCCTTCATGTTAGTCGTCGTCCTCTCCGATTGTTTCCTTTGTACGTTTACCGTGAATTCATAGGTCCTGTTGTAATCTGCTGTAGATCTGCGTGGTCTGTCATTTGCTGCTTTGTTTTGTGGATCAGTTGCTGTTGTTGTTAGATGTGAAGCTGGTGTTGTTGTTGGATGTGAAGCTGGTGTTGTTGTTGCAGCCATGGTTGTTGATCTTTCTGTTGAATCCAGCTCTGGTTCCAGTGGGACAAATCGACCGCCACGAGTGCTCCCCACCACCACAGACCTCGAAGGAGGAGGGTCAGGAGGAGGCAGAGGTGCTGTCACCACTCGAGGCACAGCTCCAGGCACAGCACCCAGCGGCACAGACTTAGGGACACCTGAGGGCTGCACCAATGGCGGTTCCGCATGCACCTCTAAAGAGCTGCCAAGCTCAAGCCCGTCCAACACCGATGTCAGAGGCGGAACGGCAGAACGGCCTAAGTCTGTGCCGCTGGGTGCTGTGCCTGGGGCTGTGCTTCGAGTGGTGACAGCACCTCTGCCTCCCCCTGACCCTCCTCCTTCGAGGTCTGTGGTGGTGGGGAGCACTCCTGGTGGTCGATTTGTCCCACTGGAACCAGAGCTGGATTCAACAGAAAGATCAACAACCATGGCTGCAACAACAACACCAGCTTCACATCTAACAACAACAGCAACTGATCCACAAAACAAAGCAGCAAATGACAGACCACGCAGATCTACAGCAGATTACAACCGGACCTATGAATTCACGGTAAACGTACAAAGGAAACAATCGGAGAGGACGACGACTAACATGAAGGCAACGGCATTTGCGGCTGGCGTTAATGGTGAAGGTGAGACGCAGGACGATGCAAGTGAGGAGGAGATTCAAACCGGTGTGGATGATGGAGCAGGTTCTGGTTTGAGCAGTGAGGGAGAAGGTGAGCTGAGTGGGGGTGAGAGTGAGTGTGAAATTGTGCGCGTGAGTCGAGATTGTGTGCGTGCGTCTCGTAATAACAAGTCTTCAGTATACAATCATTTGGTCTCTAGTACTGACTGTTGCCGTACTTATTCTGATTCCTGTTTTTCTGTTTTGTGCCGTGCTCGGCATGGTTATCTGTTGCAGTTACAAATTTTGGAAGCTGTTTGTCAGCGCATTCATAAGCCGAATTTGTGTGTCCAGAAAGAAAGTGGTATTACCCTAAAATTGTTCAAATAATGTTCGTTTGTGTAGTGTGGCAACGTTGTTGCCACTTGTGCCTAAATGTGGTTTGTCACCTTCTTGTTTGTTATATTTTTATTATTATCATTCATTCTCACTTTTTGTTCTGTTTGTTGCTGATACACACTTGTCACGCTTAGTTCCTACTTGTATACCCTTGTTTTCTGCACGCTTTTGTGAGAAATCACACCTCGATATTCCAGTGCTGTCATTGTATCTTGCTACCCTACCTTGATTGCTATATTATTTCCTTTGTTCTCATTTTGTTCTTTAGTACAACGGTGATTCCTGAAGAGTGTTGTACGAAAACTTGTTCAAATCATCTTTCTTTCCATCGCTTTTTTCTTCATACATGTATCTTCCTTACCCTTTACATTGTTTTTTGCATCGTTTCCATCGCTTACATTGTTAATAAAGTAATCCAAATGTCACTTCAGCTCGTCCTACTTATTGCCATATTAAAATTATTGTCTCCTCGTCGAATATTTAAATATAATAATAGTTACAGTTCGCATGTCACTCATGGAAGGATCCATGGGCTTAACGCATCTGTCAACGAAATCCAGGCAGAAGAGCCGAAAAAAGGCATCTCATTATTGTTAGAACTCATCGCAGTAAGAACAACTACGCATGCGCAGCACATTTTTCCACACGCATCAGCCATTTTTTTCTTGTCTAGAGCCAGTTCAAAACAGTCAGAAATATCAATATTGGCGTGCTTTAGATCATTTTTAATATTGTCAATCCACTTGAGATGGGGTCGGCCACGCGGGCGCTTGATGTCCCGGTTATTAATTGCCATCTCCAGTGCTTGGTAGGACGTCGGAATGGATGACTTCAACTTCTGTGCTGGAGAAGTCTGCTTCTGTGAACTATTATTATTCACTATTATTCCCGTAGCTATGCAGAAGACGTTACTTTAGTAACGTCTGGCGCTAGCCAGGGTCCACACAACTTTAATTTGCTAATTAGAATAAGTTCTATCTCTCACGCTATGGCACTGGTGTAACTTTGTCACCTGCCGGCCACCACCAGGTACAGGGCTTGCCTGCCGTCACTGTAACTTGACTGTCAACTCTCCTTCTTTCCCTAATTCTCACCTCCTTGTAAAACTGACACCATCTGCACCATGTCTCACTAACTTCAAATGTCACACTAATATCGCGCTTTTCTACCTTCGCGCTTTGCTTTGCTACCTGCCTGCGTATGAAATTGGACCCAGATGATGTGCAGGTTATCATTTGTGTCTATTTCAAAAAGGACGATTACTCTCAAAGACATTATGGAAAACGGGAACTGGTAGATGGGACGACATTTCTTAGAGACAGAGACCAAGACGAACGAAACGACTACATTATGGAAGAGAGAGAGAAGTGAGGGCGGCAAGATAAAGGGCCTGGGTAGCTATGGCAAATATGGGCGCGCAAGTAGCTACCCATGCCAACGGAACAAAAGGTGACAAAATGAGACAAAAGGTGAGTACGAGGGCGCATGCAGGCCAGCTTTGAAAAGGTTGCACAACGTACGGGAGGAGGTACCTAACAGTTGTCTGCGGATTGCCTTAGCTTTGCTATGTGCAGGATGAACCCAGAGTTACAGCAATGAACTAGCCGGTTGTCTTTGTTTCTTCTGTCTTTGTGATAATGCTCCATCTTTGTGGTGTTGAGCACTCAAGGTAATCTGGGAACTCTCGCTACTTTGTACTCCATGTGTCATATATGTACTCTGTGCGTTGTATCTGTACTCCGAGGAGCATGTCCCTGTTATAGTAATATTTTTATTTTACCTCGCGTCCTCCGCCAATACTATGTTTGTTGTGTGCATATTGCATCCTGTCTGTTTTTATTCACGTCTATGGTCGGCATGTAGACCCCTCTCACATCCACTGGTAATGGCATGTGTGAAGATTCAGACAGAAAGACATGTTCGCTACACTTGAACACACAGATAACTTACCACTGTTACCTGGCATGCTGGGCATCAGAGTTACAATGGTAGTCTGTCTTGGGTGAACTCTGTATAGAACAGGTACTGTAGAGTTGTGTGGAGACAAGGCAAACTCGTACAGGCCATCCTTGAACGGGAGTGTCTCCACAAACAAACTGTAACTACAGGTGTCTGACTGGCTTGTACCAGGAATGTCAACGCATTCGACTTTGTACGGCCGAAACCAAACTCTTAAGTTGACCAGGTAGCTGCGCAGATGGGCTGTGGGCACCAGGATAACGTTATTATTCGAGCTGGCATTCACGGTGAGGAATTGGGAGGGATTCTTGGCCAGCTCTGCTGCAACAGTGTCAGCTATAGTACGAGAGAAAGAAGAGAGAGAGAGATACAGAGACAGAGAGAGAGAGAGAGAGAGAGAGAGAGAGAGAGAGAGAGAGAGACAGAGAGAGAGAGAGAGGCGAAGAGATAGACAGAGAGAGAGGCTGCTTTCATGAGGGGTTAGTTATTTAACATGGCTGGAGAGAAACCTTTAGCTCTCTGAATTGATTATTGGTTGCATCGAGAATCTTTGGGAATCGCACACACGCGTCAACATGAAGAAATACACACGCGCGTTATCTCACCTTCCTGAATAGATTCGGAAAACGTGTAGATGATCCGCTCAGCAGATCTGATAGCAAATCTCCCTTCAGGTAAGGAGAGATTAGCCAGCAGGTAAAGTGTATTCTGTGTGTACACACTGTGCACCCTCCACTCTGAATCAATCAAGCTGAAAACAGTGACGTTTGAACTCCCAAGCCCTTCGCCAGTAACGTTTATATTTAGCATGTCGACAATGGATTCACCTGTACAAAGGGCAGTCCAGCACATTACAATCCGTCATGTGATTAGGTAGGTATTACCTGTACACAGTTGTGGTATTGAAAAGAATGATCAAATAATTTGATGGATTTGATTATTCGTGGAGTGAACGGATATTCGAGTAATGGCAGGAACTGGCAGAAATCGAGAAATGATCACGGGGTATACATTTGCAGATTGTGCACTCAAAGTGCAGGCATGCTCCACATGCGTATTCGCATGCAAACAGTTGCAGGGGCATGGAATGAACAGCTACTGTCTGGACAAGATCTCCTTAGCATCTTATGAGTCTCTGCAGCATAGCGTAGTGCTGTTGATGCACTGCGCTATGCATGTAGCAGTACTACACTCTTGACTCCCCCTCCCCCTGTCGCAAACGCGATCATATTTTCCGTTATTATCACTTAGACATAAATTTGTGGTGCTAGAGCCTACTTTTTCTGACCTTATTTATTTATTTTATTTATTTCACCTTCCCGTGGCCAGGGAATATAGGCCAATATGGAGGGAGGGGGGGGGGGCGATAGCCAGCCATGGCAGTAAGCAAAACAATGCAAACAAATTACAAACTGCAGGAGGCAATAACCTACATGGGGCGAGGCAAAGATAAACAAATCTGAATGAAGAATTAGCAGTACGAAGTAAGAATTAGCAGTTATAAGAATTCAAGCTTCATGTTGACCTTGAAATCATTTAGCGTACAAGACGATTTTGCTGATAGAGACAGGGCCAGCCAGAGAGAATAGGCAGTGAAAAACGGAGATCTGGTATAAGCTGATGTTCGGGCTTTAGGCAAAGTGCAGGAAGTGCGTGTAGGATGAGTGGGAGTGTTAATTTGCCCGTAAAAGAGGCCTGAAAATGAGAAAAACATAAATAAATAAATGAGTGGGAAGAAACCAATTATATTTACGCAAGTGTGGCGGGGCTTTGTCAAGACGAATAGAATGAACAACAATGCACAGTTTTCGATCCGCTTGACTAGAGATGGGGAAGGTGTTAACATTATACAGCTCGACAGAAGGAAAGTATGATGGTTTGCGAAAAAGGACTTTCAGCATCCTCTTACTGCGGACTTCCAGGGTACTCATTAACGATTTACTTAGTAGGGATGACCAGGCGGTTGAGCAATAGAGAAAAATGGGGGAGAATATAGCAATGATAAAAAGGCGAATTCAAGCGGTAGGTGGGAGCAGTGCGACATGAGGTAGCCAACAGCTTTACTGACTTTGCTACAGATATAGTCGACATGTCTACTAAACGATAAGTCTGAGTCAATGACCAAACCAAGATGCTTGTGTTGCTTTACCACTGGGAGGTCTGTGATGGATCCGGGAAGAGTGAATGCAGGGGTTGGCTCTGGTACGTGTTTTTGGCAGTGATGCCAAGACCTCAGGTCAGCAGAGCCATCAATGCCCCAGCATCACTGCTGCGTCTTGGTGCAGCCCCTACACAGTAGTTGTCACGTTTGTTATAGTACTATAGTCTCAGTTTTATGAAGAATTTGGTAGCTATCATATTGGAGAAGAATCATGATTTTCAGTACTCAGTCGTCATGGGCCAGTTAAGGTAGCAGCCTGGTCGTAAATTTCATAATTATGGCATTCAATTGACCGTAACTTTGGTGTCTCTCAATGGATTTGAGTGAATTTTTCACCACACACTCCTGCCACTATGCTGGCTCTCTGGACATGATTTTAAAGTTCTTGCGCCTCACTGACAGGCTTTCCAGGCCGGAAAACTCAAAATTGCGGCATAGTGCCACAGTGTGCGAGCCACTTAGGAGCCAAAAAATGCATTTACATTTTTCTTGCCCATTCTGTTCGTACGCGGGATCCCAACCTTTAAAAGTCCAGAAGCATCCATGGGTGGTGGGACACGGCCCCTCAACGTGGCCCTGGAGTGTAAAGTAACGATTTTCATCAGTACTTTCGTATCTCATAATATAACTAACTAACGTTACTTATTATTATTACTAGACACAATCTCATAGCATGTGACAAGCATAGCTAATGCAGGGACAGAATCCCCTGAGACAAGGGCGTTGAGCCAGCCACGGCAATAGTAAGCTAGGAAAACAAAGCAAATATGAATTAAAGCAAAAAATGAATGGAAAATTACAAAGAAAAACGATTAAACGGAAGTGAGCACTAACAAAATTCGTGCATCACCCAGGCATTCGAGAATGTTAATCGATAATAATTATTGCGTCTAGTTCAGTTGCGATAGTAGATCTTTAAACTGACCAATAGAAGAACAAGTTTTCAGACCGTATGGTAATGCTAACCAATGAGAGTAACCGGAAAACAAGGGGGACTTTAGATACTGGGCTGACTTAACAAGAGGCAGGATGAGCGCGTTACGGGTTGAGCTTGTCGAAAACCAATTGTACTTCATCATGTGTAAAGGGGTTTTATGAAGAAATATTTAATGAACCAGTGTACAGAGATGGTGCTTATGACGAACGGAGAGAGGAGAAGTGTGTGCAAGTCGATAAAGGGCATCCGATAGAAAACATCGATCCTTGTTGTAAAGAATTTTAAGTATAAATCTATGGTGGACTTCTAATTGGTTCAGAGTTGAGTCAGAAAGGCCACACCTAGCGGTATCGCGATAGTCGAATATAGGGAGAATATAGCACTGATAAAATAATAGTTTACACTGGATGGGCAAATGAGTGCAATGTGGTTGTAGTACCCCTAATGCTGAACTGGTTCGCTTGCATACACAGTTCACATGTGCAGCCCAAGAGAGTTTGCAGTCAAACATCACACCTAGATGTTTGTGCTGAGTAACAACACGGATAGGCATAGTCGAGTCAGGGAAGTATAATGGTTGATCAGGAGGGGATGAAGAAATATACATGGCTTCTGTCTTGTCTAAATTGGGCTGGAGTTTCCACGTTTGCATCCACATGACAGTGCTGTTGATGCGATGCTGTGTGGTAAGGAGTAATTGTGCAGGGGAGGAATCAGAACAGATAAGGCCAGTGTCATCCGCATACAAACTAACATCGGGGACAACTGAAGGTAGGTCATTAACGTAAAGCAAGAATAACAAAGGACCCAGAATGGAACCTTGGGGCACTCCAGATGTTACAGGGAGGGGATCAGACAAGAAATAGAACAAGCGAACAGCCTGAGAACGAGCAGACAGATACGATGATATCCAACGCAAGGCAGCATCCTCCACCTGGAAGGTGACCTCCAACTTGGCAAGTAAGCCACGATGCCATACAGTGTTGAATGCCTTAGCCAAGTCGAAAAACACCATTCCCACGTGCTCCCCACAGTTCCTCTTTGTCGCTATGTCTTGGACAAGTCGAGTCATCTGGTATTGAGTTGAGTCACCACGGCAGAATCCCGACTGAGCTGGTGAGAGAGCTGGAGCGATGTGCAGGTAGAGGGAATCGAATACAATACGCTCACAAAGTTTGGAAACTGTGCGCAGCAGAGAGATGGGGCGGTAGTTTGCCGGGCAAGCACGGGAGCCTTTATTCTTGTAAAGCGGTGTCACGATGGCAGATTTCCAATCCTGTGGAAATGTACCAGTTCGAAATGACATATTAAAAATAATGGCGAGAGGATAGGCTATTGATGGTGCAAGAGACTGCAGCGCTTCATTCGGGATCCCATCTGAGCCGGGAGACTTTCCACATTTCAGGCGCTTCAGATATTTCCGAACTTGAAACGTAGTGACAGTGATTGTGCGGAACGGAACAGATATGAAAGGCGACTGGGACAAAGGGGGAATGCGCCACGAAGGATCATCAGGTAGCCCAAATGAGGTGAACTGCGTGTTCAGAACATCAGCTATGCTCTTGGGGGATGTGGCGACCGCACCGTCGGATGCTATCATCGTTTGGGGCATGACACGGCCGGAAGTGTGGCGCTGTGCTCGCACAAACTGAAAGAGCGTAGGTCGATTTGGTGACGGTAGTGATGCTTGGATGGAGCGTATATATTGACGATGTGCTTGCCGAGACAGGTGCTTTACAGCATTCCTTTGTCGGTTATAAGCTGCATGATTTACTGCTGTCGGATATTTTTTGTACACACAATATAGATCACGCTTGCGTTTTACAGCAGACCTGAGCTCAGCAGTAACCCATGGTGGAGATTGCGTGCGGGGTCGTGAAGATGTCACAGAGTGGGTGGCTCCGAATGAGGTGAGGTGACGACGGAAGGCGGACTGGAGCTCACTATCAAAGTGATGAAGTGCGTCATTAACATCAGTGTACGAGTTCAGTGAGGACCAGTTGTAGCCAGCTAAATCAGCGTTGATTAATTGCCAAAGGTGCGAAGGTACTTGCTTGAAGCGATACAGGGAAGAGGGAGGACCCGTGGAAGAGTTGGGGAAGTAGTTCGAAATAGGGGCGTAACATAAAGTGCAAACAATCTGTATATGGTCAGACATACCCAAGGGAGGTGCTTGATCAATTGAGCGCACGAGGCGTGGTCGGTTGGTGATCACCAAGTCCAGACATGAAACAGAGCCATTAGGCGAGGAATGAGTGGGGAAGTCAACCATCTGGTGGAGCCCAAGACCAGCAAATACTGTGCTAAGGAGATCACCAGCCTTCGAGGTAGAATCGCTGAGACACCAGCTTGAGTTGTGGGCGTTGAAATCGCCAGTCACTAACAGATCCTAAGAATCCAAACAGACTGACTGTAATGCCTCAACAAACATGTCACAAAAGTACGACAATTGCATTGTGCTCTGTGAGAGTGGTCGATACATGCAGCATAGTAAGATGGGATTCTGAGATTGAGTAGAGGGGGAGCCAAGTTCAAGCCACACAGACTCGCAGCCAGGGCGTTGAAGGTCGGCACGAGGGGAGACGTACGGAAAGGAGTCCGAACGGACAAGTACGGCAACACCCCCATACCCACGGCTACAATGTGCTGACCGATTGTCTTCCGGAGGTCGATCTCTGCGGATGCAGATATAGCCTGACAGTGAGAGCGGGTTCGAGGGACAGAGCCAC